TGAGTATGTGTCAACTATTCTACGATCATATTGTAGACGAAAACTCTTCTAATTTTGCGCCTTCTTTTGTATCTGAAATCCGTGATTATGCCACTAGAAGTACATCTTTGCAACACCTGAACCCTATCCCCTTCAGAATAAATATAAGGAAATTCTTTCCAACAATTATAGGGTGCTACTATTGGAATGATATTCCTATATCTATACGAGAGAAGCCCAATAAAGAACTTTTTAAAAGCGCACTTTTCTCACATTACCTTTCCCAGTACTGATTCATGTCTTCCTCTGACCGTGTTTTATTTAAATATTTGTTGTTTAAGGTGTGATTCCTATCCCCTCTACTATATGTGTATCGTATATCTTATATCTTATTGTATCGCTTCCTTTTACTGTGTAAAAAAATGTTATTTAAGGTAAAGGGCATCTAATTAGCTTTCTATATTATGCCCTTCTCCATCCTCTTACCTTACTTGTAATTATTCATTAGACTCTAATCTATTGAAATGGAGGAAAAAAAAAATCCCCCCCCCCCCAAAAAAAAAAAAACTTACGATCGATACCAGACATAAACAGCCGCTTCTAACTCTGCAAAAATCCACCCAGCAGTCTCCGACTAGCCTTATACACCTTGTCAGATAGTTAAGTTGCTTGTAGGTAGCACGTAGAGAGAGCTAAGAGCATGAAAAGGTAGTTTTTTTTTTTTTTTAATTTTTTTTAATAGTATCTCTTTATTGCGCCGTACTCTCCAAAGGGAGATGTTAGTCTACTTACAATAAAGTTCAATAATACAATATGAATAACATAAAACGATAACTTTACCATATCTGAATACAATACGTTGATTGAAAAGCTATTACTGCTAAATTACATTTGTGCATTGAGACTTTGATACATTAAATGAGGAACTATAACAAAAGTGAAAAAGAAAAAAGACGTAAGGAGTATTGTTTGAAGTGTTTTGGTGAGAGTTTCACTGTTGGCAGGTGTACCACTAAGTTTTTATTTATTTACTTTTTTATTATTTGAATTTTGTTTTTATTTTATTTTGTATTTTTAAAGAGAGTTGAGATATTTTAACCGCATTTGTCAGGAGCTAGTTATTGACGGTATTTTTTTCAATTAGGTCCCTTTGGTGAACTGCATTCACAAAGTCGTGGAGGACAATGGGCTTGTTGTTAAGTTTACAACTATAGATATAATAACGCATGAATAGTGTGACGTAGTCGAATTTCTTGGTGGTACTATTCTCGTTTAAGTTGGAGGTAATTCCGAATAAAAGTTCCTCCGTAGTTGGAGAGAACTGTGAATTGTACGTTGTGTTAAACCACCGAATGACTTTCTGTATGAATGATTTCGTAAAGGGACAGTGAATAAAGGTGTGATCGATTGAGTCTTTTTCCCCACAAAAGCAGCATTCTTCGTCAGTTTTAATACCATATTTGAATAGTTCTCTCTTTGTCACCACGATTCTATGAATAAACTTAAATTGAAATTCTTTTAGTTTTGTTTCTTTGCACAGCTTTCGTATTGACTTAAATATCTTTGCCCATTTTTCATCATTCAAAGAAAGTATTTCGCTCCATCTTTTAGGACCTGCCTGACCTCCAGTGTGGATTTTAGCAATTAAAAGATTATAGAAATCCCTTGATTTGGCTTTATCAAGGTTGAGCGTGAAATTTCTGTTGAGGTGAAAAAGATGATCATTACTTGTGAAAAACTGATTATTAACTGATTCTATTTGTCTTGCTTTCGACCGTAGCCGGTCAGGTATGGCACTAATAATCTGAAAATACCGGAGGAAGTTTGTCTTGCAAGAAAACTTTCCTTTAAATTCCTGGAATGAGAGATAGCTACCATCCTCCTTCAACAAGTCTTTAATAGAAACGATACCCTTCTCCATCCAGTTGCTGAGATAAACGGGTGTTTCATCTACTAGAATTTCTTTATTATTATACAGTACTACATCACTTTCCTGGTCGTAACCGTAAAGTATTTTTAATTCTTGAAAGAATTTGAGAATGTTCTTATAAAAGGCTGGCAATTGAGGGAAGTACTTTGTGTCGTAGTTGCATTTTAGAAGAAAATTTAAGCCCCCCCTTTTTCCTGAAATAGTGGTTTGGCACAGAGCACCAATTTTTATCTCCAGCATTCAAAAGTCTAGGGATCCATGCAAGTCTCAAGGCTTTAAACATAAGATCTACATCTGTCATGCGTAGCCCACCTCCCTCTAAATCTTGGTAAAGCACGGTTCGTTTGATCTTATCCTTCTTTCCATATAAAGTTAAACAACTTTCTTTTCAGCGTGTCTGCGATTGTATCAGGAACTTCAATATTTGAAGCGGAATAAATGATCTGTGAGATACCTAGAGTTTTGGTTATTAAAACTCTTCCAAATAGCGTGAGGCTTCTAGCACTCCACATATCCAATTTTGTTTGTAGCTTCCTTAATTTCAGGCTAAAGTTAAGGTCATCATTCCCCTTCTTATCGTACGAGAAGTGAATTCCTAAGATCCGAACCGGGGTATGCGTCCACTTCATGCCCAACGGGTTGGTTTTATTGTTAGCCCACTTCCCAAGCCAAATCGCTTTTGTTTTCTTCATGTTTAGCTGTAAACCAGCTATCCTACCGAAGTCATTGACTGTATTTAAAGCTTTTTCCACGGAATTTAAATCTGCACAAAATAGATTTGTGTCGTCTGCAAATTGTGACAGTTTAAGTTCGTTGCCAAACAAATTAATGCCTTTGACCCCCGAGTCGTAGCGTAGTTTTATGGACATTAATTCGGCTGAGAGGATGAACAGATACGGTGAGAGAGGACAGCCTTGCCTCACACCTTTCGACGGTTTGAACCAATTCGTTGTGTACCCATTATTCAACACCGCGCTCTCCACGTTCGTATAGAATGTACTTATCCAACGTTTTATGCTGCTACCAAAATTAAAAGCATCTAAAATTCTCATAATAAAGGGCCATTCGAGAGAATCAAAAGCCTTACGAAAATCAAGAGCTATAAGAATGCCCGGAATTTTTTGCTCTTTCGTTAGGTCTAGAACATCGCTTATAAGTCTAATGTTTTCCCCAATGTAGCGTCCTTTTACAAAGCCTGTTTGGTCTGGGTGTATTAAGTTCGGCAAAACTGTTTCTAATCTTTTAGCTATTGCTTTCGCAGCGATTTTTTGATCGACATTCAGTAGGGTTATCGGTCTCCAGTTATGCAGGTCGAGTAAAGAGCCGTCTTCCTTTGGTAATTAAGTAATAATGCCCCTTCTTTGCGAGATGGTAAGTTCATTTTTCTCGTAAGCCTCGTTTAAGCATGCCAGAAGATTTTCGCCTAATAGGTCGTAGAAAAATTTATAGAATTCCACGGTGAATCCGTCTTCACCTGGCGCCTTATCACCTTGGAAAGATTCTAGTACATTTTTGCACTCATCATAACTTAGAGGACCTTCCAAGTTGTCCCGATCGTCATCTGAAAGTTTTGGTATTTGCAAATGCTGTGTAAATTCATCGTATTCCTCTTGAGAGAATGCTTTTGCTGATGTGTACAAGTCTCTAAAGTAAACTTCAATTTGGTCGAGGATCTGTTTATCATTGATTGTAGTGGATTCATCTTCTAGGCGAAGTTCCCTTATGGTCTTTTTATTATAATTCCTTTTTTCCATATTGAAAAAATATTTTGTTGGTCGTTCGCCCTGTTCTACCCAACGACATTTCGCTCTAAACATCGCTTGCTTTCCTTTATTTTCGTACAGAGACTGAAGTTCGGATTTAAGGTTGTCATAGTGCAGCAAGATTTGATTAGTATCTGGCGTGAAAAAGTTATTACAAATAGTGTCGTCTAACTGTTCGAGCTGGCGTTTAATATCCTCTGCCCTGTCTCTGGATACTTTTTGCTTTGTGTTTCGCATACGAGATAGTCGCATTCCTAATTTCCATTTTGATTAGCTCCCACAGGAGACCTTTGCTTGTTGCTTGACGGTAATATCTTACGGTGTTTGAATAGGTTTTACGAACCCACTCCACGTATTCTTCATCTTTTAAAAGGGTATTATTGAATTTCCAGAGTCCGGGTCCCCTCGGGGTTTCACACGACCAAGATAAGGACGTATAAATTGCTTTGTGGTCGGGTGCAATTGATGGATAGATTTCTGTTTTCTTTACACTTTTTGTTAGGTTTTTGGCCAAAAGAAAGAAGTCTATCCTGGACTTCATTCCTATTGCTTTTGATTCATACGTAAATTTTCGTGACTTTGGATAGCGTACTCTCTGAATGTCTATTAGATCGAACATATCCATTGTAGTCACTAACAAGTTCCTGTAATTCGTTGGTGCCCATACCGTTCCTCCAATTTTGTCTTTTTTTAGACAGCGTACAATTCAGTCCCCTCCAACAATTAAATTTGTCAGTTCTGTTTTGTCGATTATGCAGTTGTTTATCTCCTGCATAAACTCGAGTTGATTTGTTTGGTTGGTTGGTGCGTAGATGTTACAAAGTGTTAATTTTTGGGAGCCAAAAGTAATCGTAATTAGCACAATTCTCCCTGAGTTGTTGCTATAACAATAATCCACCTGACAATGAAAAGCACCAAAAGGGTTGATTAGAATGCAGACACCTTTGCTGTGGTTAGTACCATGGGAGAAAAATATCTCACCTCCCCATTCATTTTTCCAGATATTTTCGTCTTTTGGATCAGAATAGGTTTCTTGGAGAAAGTAGATATTTGTTTTAAAATCTTTCAAGAACGAAAAAATACTCCTTCTCTTAATCTGGTCCCGTATTCCTCGAACATTAAGCGATAAAATATCTAATTTTACAGGCGTTTGCATAGTCAATAAAGAGCTACAATTAGTAGTTTATGATATCGATAACAAAAGGAAAAAAACAACAACAACAACAACAACAACAACAATTAGTTACAAGAGCTAACCCTCTTCCTAGCTTACAGTCCGACGTTGTCCTCAGTTTTCTAGTTTTGTTGTAAGTGTTCTCTTCTAGTTTTTAAAGATAGTCCAGATCATCTAATTCATTAATTTTTATAGGCCTACCTTCGGGCGACGTTTTAATAAAAATCTTTCCATCCATTGTCCAAACGCTTAGGATTGAACCATCGTTCTGCATTTCGTTCGCTTTGTTGACGATCTTTTTCCTGTACGACGTGAGGCTCTCGAATAAATAGATCTTGCCGGAGGCAACTCGTGCTGCGGCGGTCGAAGCGGGGAAGAGGCTTGAGAAACTCACATTTTTTAGTTTTGTCCGGGCTTTGTATAGATTCGTTTTAGTTTTATGATTAACAAATTTTACGATAATCGGCTTAACTCCCTTTCTCCGGCTTAATTTGTGAGATATTTCGATATCCTGTTGGCACACCGGCACCTCCAGGGCATTAGCCAATTTTAGAACTACTTCTGTTGACTCATAAGCTTGTTCCGGTATTCCATGGATCTCCAAGGAGTTTTTCCGTGTGTACTGTTCTAGATGATCTTGGAGGTCGTACAACTCGGCGATTTCTTCCTCCTGTTGGTCAACTATTTTCCTTGTTTCGGCCAGCTCTTGTTCGGCATCATCAAACTGCTTTATCGCTTTATTAAGCGATGCTCGAAGGTTTGCTATTTCAACATTCTGCCCTCGAATAGTCGCCTTCAATTCATCCATGTTGTTCTTCATGGCTTCGTTTTCTCGTAGAATGCTGCAGATATCGATCTTAATATCAACCAGCATTTCCCTAAGTTCAATAAGTGACGGCTCTACAGGAGCGATCGATGATTCTTTCTGTCCAGGGATCTCCTCCATCAGAGTTGGTCCAGCGAGGCTTGCTAGTTCGCTTGAAATTGGTTCTGCGGTCGCCGCCATATTGGGTCGTTTAGGCGTTCCGGTTTCCTCCTCGCAAGAACCTCTGGCTCCTCGCTTGTTCTTCTTGTTGTTTCCCATAAGTTAGTTTCTAATGGTGGTTCTTAACATATTACTAGAACCAAGGACTGGGAAATTTTGCATTTTCAGAGAAAATTGAGGACGCGGACAGCGCTCTTCAAGAAATGTGCCACTGCACACCGAGTCCACGCATGCTCTCTTGAAAAGGTAGTGATAAAAAAGAGTGTGTACTCACCAACAAGTTTATCGATACGAATATAAGAGATCCTCGCAGCTATGAACACTACTGAACTAGTAGTTGAAATAAGACCTGAAAAACATTCAGGCCTGTACGGGGTTTGAATCCATGACCAGTGCAACACCAGAACAACGCTCTACCAACTGAGCTAACAAGCTAACTGGGAGCTGGTCATTATGTTGGGTTCAAATAAACCATCCAAGTGATGAATAATGATTGTGGGTATATCAAACTAATATGTGCAATGCAGTGAAGAAACGAATATAAGAGATGCTTGCAGCTATGAACACTACTGAACTAGCAGTTAAGATAAGACCTGAAAAAAAATTCAGGCCCATACGGATTTGAACCCACGACCTCTGCAATACCAGTGAAGCACTCTACCAACTGGGTTAAGAGGCCAACTTAGAGCTGGTCAGTATGTTGGGTCCAAATAAACCATCCAAGTGATGAATAATGATTATGAATAATGATAATGAATAATGATTCATCAGTTGGATGGTTTATTATAATTTGACGGGTCAGACAGGTCACAACTCAATACCAAATGGTGGTACGGGAACGATTTTTCCACCAAAAGATAGGAAAGTTGTCACTCTAGAAACCCTGTAAGTATCAAGTACAACAAATGACTTTTAAAAATTCATAAAATATCTGTTTCAATATTTTTCAATAAAATTTAAACTGCAAGTCAACAAGAACAACAACCATCCATCCTGTTAAAAAATTGTTTGATATGACTGTCTTCCCTATTGAACCTAGACATATGGTCTCATACTCAAAGAGGACTAACTCGTTAATTCAGGAAAAAATTGGTAAAAAATTCGCGTTTCAATGTTTTATCATGCAATTTTAACTGCAAATCAACCATAATAAGAGCTATCTGCAGCCTAAAAAAAAATTTTTCACACAACCGTCTTGCCCATTGGGGGGATGGAAAAAACCGGAATTTCACCAAGGGTAACATAACCCTAACCAAACTAAAACCTGAAAGGTTATCTTTCATTACCTCGTACAAACTGCTTTGGATTAGCAAGACATGTGTCTCGACAAGGTAAAAATATTAAGCCAAACCAGAAAACCAACCTAAGCAATGCCCCGTAAGAAGTTGTATCAAAATCATGGTAAAATCTCCCTGAAATTGCGCCCCCCTCACCTCAAAAAATACCGAAAAAATCCATAAAAAATTTTAGTATCAGATGGTTTTTTTTTAAAACTTAAAAGGAAACTAGTACAAGACAAGCGCTAACCTGTAATACTGTTGGATATGTCATTTTATTGTCTTAATGCATAGATATTCCCTTTATTCCCAAACAAGATGCCGGAAGTCGTTTCCGTGGGATGCATTGGTCTATGCAAGCATAATGGGGTACTATTTGAATTTGGAAAAATGAGGGAAATTGGAAAGATGTGTCACGTTATGAGTATCAATGAGAAAGTTACATGTATGGGTGGGTTTAATGTGCCTGTAAGTGAATTTTTAGTTGTCAGTGGCCGAAAGGATGGAGTTGATCTTATTTTGAAGGATTTATTTGCATGTTAAATATAAACATAGTTAAGTAGACTACCAGAAAGGAACGTAGGTCTCTGTACAATCTGCGTATAATGCAGTGATTCCATCATTGATGTTAGTGGTTCTACATCTTTGCAGCTGAAGTGGTTTATATTGACATCTCCCAAGACTAAATGTATTGCGTGAGTTGTAACCATAAAATTTAATCCAGTGGTAAAATCAAAAAAGTGTGAGCCATTCTTACGATATACAAGGAGAAGGGCTACATTTCGTTTTAATATGTTACTGTCACAACTGACCGTTAACTTAACAGCATTCAAAGTAGGAAAGTGTTCCTGGTGTAAAATATGAATATGTGGTTTATTTGGTTTATTCCTAAATTTGAAATTAGTCTAAATTATGATCATACCTGTCTGGTGCAAATAGGATTAAGTTGTTTCTAATGTCAGAGTTATTATCCCTTGGTAAAAGTTGTGTTTAAAAGGCAGAATGTAATATCTGAATTGTTTTGATGATTTGTAGGTACAATTTCATATACATCTTTTGGTTTAAAACGCCTCAATCTGCTATATTCATCATGTACTTTAGAATCTACTTTGACGTGTGTACTGTTGAGTTCGTTAAGAATGCGCAGTCCTTGAAGTGAAGTTGCTCGACTCGATGCAACATACACTTGTCCATAGTTGAAAGACCTTTGGTTGTGTAATTTAAAACTGATAACAACGTTTTGAAGTGACAAACCCTGGACCTTGTGAATTGTGCATGCCCATGCTAGAGCAATAGGGAATTTAATTCTTTGCAATTCTGGAGAAGATGGTTTACCAGGATGTACTTTGATTTTTGACAGCATTGGTTCAATAGCAACAACCTTATTTTATTGCACGGATGAGTCACCACTGGTCTGTATCAAGGCGTTTCCTGCTCTTTTGTCATCAAATTTTATGTAAATGACAGATAGTTTTTGTACAAGTTTGTTCACATTAATTTTCATTGTAGTTCCCATCTGGCCATTGATATTCTATCTGCAATGTCAATTTTTGTAGTTAGCATTACTCTGGCACCTTTAATCTTGACTTCAAAGTTGAATTCTCCTGTATCAGATCTTGTCTTGGACAGCACTGTATTGATATCCCTTTGTGTAACTTGTGATGGGTATTGATCAGTGGCTTTAAGTATAGACAAAGGTAATGACAACTGTTCAAGTCGTTTGTCGTTGTACTCATTGACAGGATCATTTTCCGCCCATATGTGGAGTGTATCCACTGGATAATTGTCAGCTGATGGGAATATGAGCCTAGAGTTAATACAGTTTACATCCTTGTCTGTTTGAGAACCAGTTTTGAATCTGTTTAAAGGCTCAGTGAACTGTTGGTCATCTTTTTGTTGCATGATCTCAGTTAGTTCTATCATAGTTAAAACCTGCCATGGATGGTACAAACTGCACCAGCACCCCTTGTGATAAAAAGATAAATTGGTTTGATTTAATCAGGATTGAGAGATTGAGTATTTTTTACTTTGTTTCTGCACCAAAATAGAGCAGTATAATATGTAATATGTTGTTTACAGACTTCTGTAAAAAGTCGTCAGAAATTTCAGTTGGTTGAATATGACTTGAAATTGTTGGAACTGCCGACATATGGCCAGAGTTAGATTTTGAGGCAAGATGCGAAGGCACTTGTTTGTTAAATGATTCCTCGTCACTTTCACAATTACCTACATATATAGGAGCAATTCTTCATTTCCCTGATCAAACTGGCGCCTTCATTGTTTCTCAATGCTTCCAATGCTTCTGAAATAGCATCTGAATCTGGTTCAAATAAAGCTCTATTTTGTTCAACAACAGCTTGCACTTCAGGCTCGTTGAATTTTGATGCATATGTTTGTTCACTTACAACCAGAGTATCTTCATTAAGCCGTGGGTAATATAGCATAAGCAAGTGGTGAAAGTAGTATTCAGGCTGTTTTCTTTTTTTTGTGTGTGTATGGTAACGCACAACAGCCCTAATTTTCCTGTATTTCGTTACTTCATTAGAGTTAACTAATTTTATTCTTGGAGGTAATTGACTATTAAGATCAGTATTTGTGTCTAAGTGGACATGTAATTCAATTGCATCATGTGTAAGTAATTCTGGTTGAACATCACTTGTTTCACTATTATTGCTGTATCCTTTATAAAAGTATGATGCAAATTGAGCTAAACATAAGCTATTCATAGAAGGAATTGTATGTGGTCTCATTCTGTCGCGTTTGATGATATTTGATTTGTAAAGAACTGTACTATCATCATCGAATGCATCAAGTTCTATTTAGCTCAGTCTTGGCAACTCTAACTCTCAACAATAACAGGGTTTAAGTTAAGCGTAGATCATCTTTCATTGTAAGACAATGCTTCAATTTGTTCATCTGTTAAAATTAGGCCTTGTGTTCTGGCAATAATTTGAAACAATTCTGGCCATATAAGGTCAGCACAAGACAAAGTCATAAACCAGGTGGGAATACTATGCTCTTTTACCATGGAAACAACTTTGTACATAAACTTTTGCCAGTAGGGTGGTGTCCCTGGGATTTGTCCTAGGAATAATTAAGCCTGGTTTTGACATACAGGATTTTGTAAAGACTTTCGAATTACATCTTTTATGTGATGCAGTGAGATGCTGTCCATAAACGTTTGAGAGAGCTATGTTAATACTATCTGATACTTTTTCCCGTTCAACTATGAACAGTGCAAAAAAAACAAATATTCAGGATACGTTGCAAACCTTTCACTAGAATGTAAAAGGCATGCATTAAAGTATTTTGTTGGTGATAAGTTAACTGTTCTCTCTATGGTATAGCCAAATTCTATGGGGAGTTCATCAACCATTAATTTGTTATAAACAGCCTGGCATGGAACTTGTCCTTTTGACAACTTAGAGTTATGTTTTACAAATGTATTCTGTTATCAAATGACTTTTATCTGTAAAGAGATGCTGATTGCTATACTTATCCTTCTTTAATTGTGTCACTGTTTATCTATAGAGGATTCTGTTGCACGCAGAACATATGTAATAAGGCCCTTCTTTGATTTTTTTTTTTGAAAGGAGTTGATACAAGAATCCAAGACATTGCATTTCAAAGGTTTTGTCTGCTTAGCTTTACTTGTTTAAGTCCTTTGTTTTTCAGACAATTTATCTTTTTCACAGCTACCCATGTTTTGAGAAGCTTGTTTTTTTTAGCCAATAGATTTTGTTTTTCATTTGCCTCCATAGACTGATTTTTTTCAGCATAATCAGTCAGAGTTTTTGCCTTTTTATTCTTGTAATACTGAGAACACATGTTCAAGCACATTTTTTTTTCCTTTGGAGGTTCAAGTTGAGCATAAGACATTTTCCTTTTCACTGCCATATTCATTTTCTTAGAAGATTTGTGACAGTTCAGAATCTCTTGTCTATCAGCTTTACTCAGCTGACGTACATAATATTGATTGAATGAAATATTATGTATTATTAGAGTTGAGTCTATTTGTCATGCTGTCTTAAATTACTTGGACTAAACTATGGGTGTCACTTGCCTTGGCTACCTCAAGCTGTCTACTGTCATCCACAGTAATTAAAAAAATTATTGTGCTTCTACTGGTTTTAGGAAAAACACAACTATAACAGAGCTTGGAAAAATAAAGCAAAAACCCTGTATTCACACTTTGGCTTTGCAAAATGAACCTTTCTAGACATAGTTTACTAGAAGATGAAGTACTCAAAAGGGTTCCATTCCTACTGCCAACAAAATTCACATTAATATTAGCCCCAAGTATATTGATATTTTCTGGTAGTGCCCAGGAGCACTGATATTTTATGGTATTAATAAAGAAAGTGCTTCCAAATTCAACAATAGCATCTAATGTGTCAGAGTTCCAATAACTACCAGGCTTTAGAACTGGAAAACAAATAGCATAGAATGCTAAGGCAGAGATCTCTGTTGCAGTAAAAGTTTTTGTACTACATGTATCAGCAGTAGATAGATTGACTTGTGAAGTGCCAACAGAATTCTGTTGTGAAGTTTCATTGGTCCTTGAATTTGATTGATAATCATTATTAATGCTAATTGAAGATATTTGAGAATATTCTCAAAATGCTTTTGAATATCAACTTTAATCGGTGAAACTCTACTCATATTTACTGGAAACCTTGTGTTACATTTTTTTTGAACTCATGTTGCGCATGATCGAACTCGTGTTACGCATGGGAGTGAGGTTTCAACACTCCCCACCCTGACCACACTACAGTGGTCAAACTTAAACTTAAACTTAAACATTCAAAAGTTGTCTCCTCAACAGTCCTCCTTGAGTTTCTGCATTTCGGCGTGGTCGTTGGTTAATTGAATTGCTGTGAATGGTTCCGGTTCTTGTAACTGCATATGTGGGGGTTGGTGTACTTGTTGTTTGATTCCACTCGTACTTCGATGAGAACTAAGCGCTGAATCACTCTCTTCAAAAGTTGAGTCTTTCCGTTCTTGCTTGACACCTTGACAATGGCAGCTCTAACCTTTCCATCTCTTCCTGGTATTAGCTGTTCCACTTTGCCCAGTTTCCAGAATGCCCTGGAGGTAGAGTCGTTCTTGAGAATGACAATGTCACCTACAGTTATAGAGGAACGGTTGCCATTGACAGACTTTGCTGTAGAGTTCTCTTGTAAACTTATTAAATACTCTCGTTTCCACTGCCTTGAGAATTGTTGAGGCAATTGCTTGTGATGTCGTTGTCTTTTCGTTAGTGAATTGTGAGTTCTCATTATCTCAAAGTGCTCGTCATTTGGCATAGTACTGATCCTGTGACCACTAATGGAATGGGACAGCGTCAGAGGATGTGAGATAGACTCTTCGTCATCGTAGATGTGAGTGAGACCTCATG